TACGGAAAAAGAAAAAAAGAAAAAAGAAAGAAAGAAAGAGTACGGACTAAAAAGAATAAAGGCTGCAAAAAAAAAAGAAAGAAAGAAAAAAGAAAGAAAGAAAGAAAGAAAGAAAGAAAGAAAGAGTAAACGAAAATGGCTGGAAAAAAGAAAAAAGGCTGCAAAGAGGAAAAAGAATAAAGAAAGAAAAGAAAGAAAGAAAGAAAGAAAGAAAGAAAGAAAGAAAGAAAGAAAGAAAGAAGTATGAACTAAAAGAAGACCAGTTGTAAGCAGAAAAGAAATTGCGAAAATAAAGAATGAAAGAAAGCTACGAAAGAGAATGAAATAAATATAAGAAATCACAATTAAAAAAAAAACGAAAGAAATATAAGAAAAATGAAAGTTGTTAGAGAACGAGAGATAGACGAAAAGAAAGAAAGAAAAGTCAATTCATGGAAAAGATGTTTTAAGAGTTAATGCGACTGAAAGTGAAAAAGAAAAAGTAAAACTGCAAGTCTGCTAGAAACATTAAAAAATCTAAAAGAAAAAAAAAATTCAAAAGAAAAATACATAAAAAAAAATTTAAGAAAGACATGCGTCGAGATGTTTAGTTTCTTAATAAATGTCACAACTTTGCAACTGCGCGGTTGTACACACCCCTGTGCCCTCCCCCGTTTACTGTTGCTGGCAGGGGGGGAGTTGTCGGGTCGGGGAATTGTAGTGAAGGCTACAGTGCCAATCTTGCGGGAGATAATCTTAATTGAAAGTTATTAAGCTAATATTAACTGTATGTAATTCAATTAGAGTCGAAGCCCACTGGCGTTTCTGATATTGATAGGACAATCCTCTAATGTCTTTTTGCGTTCTTTTTTTTTTTTACTTTAATATGCGTCATTACAACAAGCAAGGTAAAAGACAATAGACGTTTCCAGTGAACGGGGAATGTGCAAAAACTTTCAAGAAAACAAACCTCACTGCATATCTTCATTTGTTTCGATTATGTTAATGTTTCTGTTCCTCATTCAGTTGTCACACCATTCCTATCTCATGGATATCATTGGTGATCAAGTGGCAGAAAGTCTCCTCATCACTACGGAATTTGTCATCATCGTCATCGGAATCTGCTATCATCCGAGCATTGGGATCATCATCATCTCTCCTTATTCCTTAACATCCTGATGGTGACCACGGAGATGGCTACTCGTGAAGAGTCGTGAGCAAGTGCCACAAAGGAATGTGGGAGGTGTTCGCGACTGGGCAAGTCGAACCCGCCTTCTCAGGTTGACGATTAGACTTGAAACTCATTCCTACCCAACTCGAATTGTTCTACACCATGAAGGTCTATACGCAGCAACGGCTTCCGAAGTATCAGAGTCGATATTGGCCAGTGTCAAAGATGTTATCACTTGATCCTTGAATTGTCGTTTTAGGCCTTCACGTAGCATCTTGCCGCTGGCGAGCTCCCGAAACAGGATGACAGAAGGCAGTCTAGCGGGATGCATTCTGGAAAAGTGGCCCGTACAGCGGAGGTGATGTTGAAGGATGACAACCTTGATGGTCTGGAGAGACGTCTAAAAGAGGACCTCGTTGTTGGTGATACTGCAGCACCTATATGTTTTCAATATTTGCCTTGTCTTAACACTCGAGCGGTAAACACCGATTCTTCGCCGATCACTGGGGTTAAGCTAAGTTGAGCCTAGTCAGTACTCAGATGGATGATTGCTGGTGCTGAAAGCTACGCGATTGGCCGAACAAACAAGCGATGAACAGAATCTCGCTAGAAAGGGTTGTAAGACAAGGGTGTATCGTCTCACCGGACTTATTCAACATTTACAGCGAGGAAATAATATGAACATGATATGAGATATGAACATGATACAGTATTGATATTAGGTACGAAAGGAAACAACAAAACACCCACAGAAGATAGCGATGGAAAGCGAGAAGAAAGATGACAAAATACATGGTTATCAGCAAAATGATGAGCCCAAAATGCAATTTACAAATCGGGGATACTAAAATGAAACAAGTACAAAAATTTAAATATTTGTGAAGTTCTCTAACAGATGACGGAAAGTGCAACACTGTGATCCGAAGAAGTATTGGGATGGTCAAAAGTTCATTCCAAAGGCTAAGCAGAGTATTACAAGACATGCAAATTTCATTAGAAACAAAGAAAAGAGAATTGGAATGTTACGTGATATCTGTCCTATTGTATTGCAGCGAATGCTGGAAATCTCCTCAAGGGTTAAAAAGAGACTTGAAGCAACAGAAATGTGCTTCTACAGAAAGTTAAGGAAACCATGGACCGAATATGGGAGCAACAACATGTGCCACATTTTTGAGATTTTGATTTCAAGATCTTTATATTTTGATAGTTTTTTGAAGAACTCTTTAAATACTTAAAATACTTTAACATTCACAAATTCTTGCATGGGATGCGTGTAAGAAACTTCGAAAATTTGGCTCTCGAACTCTTAAAAGTCCAAACCTTTCGAATGTTGATCGAACCAGTCCTACTGTGTGGATCAGAAACTTGGACATTATCTGTTCGTCTTGAGAGACGACTGGATGGAACATATGCAAATCTGCATAAAAAAACCCAGAACATCAGTTGGAGATCCCATGCAACGCTCAACACAATTTACGGAGAAATGAGACCAATCTCTCTTAAGCTCAAACAAAAGCGATTTTAGATTGACGGCCACTGCCACCGAGCGAACGGGAAGTTCCTCTCATCCTTAATTCTATGACATCCTTCTGGAGGTGTCTTCTCGCGAATTTGACTTTCCCAGACACCATGGTTCGGGACTCAGTGTTGGCTATTGATGATCTAGCGACGGCAATGCAAGGCCGAGCAGTGAGGAAAGGACTTGTTAATAGTGTTCCGACCAATCACAGGGAGGACGAAGGATGATGATGATGGTGATGATGATGAATGCTGGTAAGACTGTGGTCTCCAATAATGTATCCTTGGTAAGACTTCTCTTTGCTTAGCTTTGGGAATGTATCTTTTGTTATTCCAATGCGTGTCCAAATTCCGTGTCACATTTTCCATCAGGTTAAAACATTTCGTAAATAGATATTGAACTTTCCGGGTGAATATTACTGCTTCTGACATTTCTTGTACTTTTCTTTGTTATCTTTGATTACATTCATTCAATTGGTCCTTCTGGAACCTGAAAATAACCCGTAAAGCAATCGCAGATGTTTTATTCATCTTATCTGAAACAATATAGAAATAGAAGCAGACTAACTCTTTTAAAAATCAGTATTGAAAACCTGTCAGAGACACAAGTAAGGCACTAACTTAAAACGTATCAGATGATTCGACATCATACATTAAACAGACTTGAAGACTTATTCAGTTATTGCTACACCTACTTTCTTTCTTGTAAGCCTGGCACCGGAAAATTGTCCTTAAATAAGTATATATTAGGTTGGTGCGAAAATAATGACGTAATAATGTCGTTTTTTGACTTTAAAAAATAAGTTAAAAAACAACATTATTACGTCATTATTTTTGCACCAACCTAATAATTCATCGGTTATTAGATCTTTTGCGTCATTGTTTCATATAGGTTTCGAATATATCAGTCGAACACCTCTCATAACACTTTCTAGAACAACTCATATTCTGGAAGAGACATTGGCAGAACCGGCAGAGGAGGATTAGAATAAGGCATTAAATTATTATCGATTATTAAATTGGTTTGAGAAGGTTTTCTCGGATATAAATTTCAATAAAACATGTTTGCGTTTCTATATAGATATATACACAATAACACGTAAACTATTCACAATGAATATGCAAACATATATGTTCAAAATCCAACCGTCGCCAACGGGCCTAATATATATATACATGCATACACACACACACACACACACGCACACACACACACACACACATATATATATATTGATGTAATGAATATGCATACACCTGGGTTCCCCCTCACAGTAATATGTTTGGCTGGTGTCAGCCATAAATACAGACTGATGTGGAGGTACAGGGAGATACCGATTGCCTACGCCTAATGCCTACCACTACGACGAGGACCAGTCCATTGCGGTTAACTGCTAGATTGTCCTACCCTGTTATAGTAGTCCAAAACCACTTTGCTACTTCGAACAAATATATTCTTTTCCGGGGCATATCATATATATATATATATATATATATATATATATATATATATATGTGTGTGTATATGTGTGTGTGTGTGTGTGTGTGTGTGTGTGTGTGTGTGTGTGTGTGTGTGTGTGTGTGAATATCAATGTGTCAGTGTGTCACACTTTTTCAACTTTACTCTTAGAGGCCGTAGTTCAACATATCATAACATTTTCGAATCAGACCAACTCATTGGACAAATTAAAAACATTCCGGGATGAATCCGGACCAGCAATCCTGAAATTTTACATTCCTAAATTTTCATTACAGAGATTATTTTACGTGATTTTTTGCCACGATTTTTTTTGTTCCATAACAAATTCTATAACCTGGGAATAAATTTGGGAATAATCGAAATTAATTGCGAAATCCAGTGAAAGTCACCCATGAAATAAATGTAATTGTTTGTACAGAATGTCTTTGAATTAAGTTATGGCAGAAGACTTATTGTTTCACTTTTAAAAGGTAAACTTAAAATATTAATGCAATATTTAAATGCAGCGATCAATTTTGATTTCTTCTGCAGTTTATTGTTGTTTATCGTATGCTGCAGCAGTGTGTCTTAGAAAAAGAAATCTCCGCCAACAGAGGGCCAGATTAGCAATCAAAAGAGCCAAGGATGCAGCGAGGAAAAAAAACCGTGCAAATGAAAACTCAGATAAAACGGCAACTAGGAGAGCTTCCTATTTTGTGAATATCCAATGTCTTATGGACTCTCAATCTCCTTAACAAGCCGAATGCCAAATCAAGAGCCCTCAGAAGGAGTTAATTTAATTGCCACCAGATAGGGCGGCTTTTAAGCTAATATATAATGATAATAATAATAGATTCTCCTATCGTAAATGATAAATGAGGATCAGGATGGATGGTGCATTTCGTTTTACACTTATGCAAGCTAGCAGAAGCTATTGATTAGAAAATCAGTTAAGGGAAAGTCATTTTATTTTTGCTTTCTTAAGTGGGATACTAGCCCAGCCTTTGTGTGGGTGACAAAGCCACACTGAGGGATGAAATTTGTTAAAGCAGGATTTTGATGGCGTCTCTGCTTCAAAGCTTGAAAAAGCTGATCACGCTGCTTCAGTCTACTGTCTTCAAAATCCTTTAACAATGAAATATATCTTACACCACTCCTTTCGGTTTGATGCGTGAGCTTCCCAGGTTTTCAGATTAAAGTTAAGACGCTTCAAGTTGTCTTTCAATTTGTCTTTGTACCGTAAGAGTAGACGTCTAACTGAACGCTTGGAGTTTGGTATTGTCCATACAGCAAGCTAGTGTATATATATATATATATATATATATATATATATATATATATATATATATCGGATCTTTCAACATCATGCTCCCTCTCCACGGTGACCCAGCCGATACTGAATGGGTATTGACTTTTGTTCGTTCCGTCAGCTACAACTTTCCTCATTTTTTAATCAGACACAATAATTCCTCATTCGGTCTGTTGTCCTCATCTTTATTGCCATATTCACGATGTTTCGACCATTGTACGCTCTGACCTTCTTCAGGTGATATACGCTGGAATTTAAAACTCAACCCTTTATTTAGTCCACGGGGGTAGATTGTTCTAATTCTATATGCCATGACTATTTTGGGATATCTCCGTTTCAGTTAATTCCCTTTTATTAACACAACTCTTCAAGTTTTTTGTTCCCTCTGGTGTTGCCAGGTATTGAACTCACAACTCTTTGGTCAAGCCACTTTTTGGGATTAGTTCAACCAACGCTTTTATCCACCAGGCTTTTAAGATAACTTCCAATTCACCATCAATCTACGCTCTTCCATAAAAAGTGACTAAATATATAATGGACAAGGCATTTTGGAGAACTTTGTTTGAAGCGGCATCACACATTGAAGAAGAAGTGCGGTCCTTTATTGTAATTTCGTTTACTTGTATTGTCATAGATTGGTAGGGATTTTAAGATCATTATTTTCCATTGCATTGGTTGTATTTTTGCAGATTAATCTATGATAGTTATCTAAAAAATAAACACTGTTATCACATGCAAGAAAGGATTCTACTGACAGATTATTGTCCTCATCTTGAATATTTCTGCACACAATCCTTCCAAATAATAATTATGAAATAAAATAAAAAAACATTAACAGGAAGACTACATGAGAAACAGTAACTACTGAACTCTTACGTAATATCAGTCTTCGTATATAGCAGTGAATGCTGAACTATTTCCTCAAATAGGATGAGGGAACTTGAGACAACTCTGATATCATCATACAGAATAACACTGACATATGCATATTTATTTTAATCATTTCAGCCTGAGCAAGGCGATAATGCCACTAAGACTCAAAAGCTTACAAGGAGTGAAAGAGAATGAGAAAACTAAAAGGAACCAAAAACCCAATCCTGAACAAGAAACAATGGATTAATCTTTACTCCTATTTACACTATTTACACCATTCGGTCTGTTGCCCTCATCTTTATTGCCATATTCCCGACCTTTCGGCCGTTGTACGTTTTGACCTTCTTCAGGTGATATACGTTGAAATTTCAATCTGAATCCTTTATCTATTTCAATTCCTGTTGTGTTCGTTATATTCACTTACGCGGAAATTCCTTTCTCCCCCAGCTGTGGGTAATTAGTAAGTTAATTAGTTATTAGTTTTATCACTAAAGCGTTATTATAAAAATTTCTTGCAATCTAAAACTATTTTCTGATTTTAAATTACCTGTAAAAAGTTAAAAAATGAATCAATCACTATTTAATATAAAATAACACCTAGTACGAATGGCTTACATACGATAATGTTTAACGCAAAGCACATTGGATTGCCAAGGACAAATCTCCACAACCCATTCTAAAAGCTGAACAACTTGGAAGAAAATTAATGCTCAGCATGTCGTGAGATCGTTTAAATATTATTGCTTCAGAGGTGGTGAAAGATTAATGCACATTTATACGTTCTGTGGATGGAACGTGTCTTTAAATTTTTGCTGTGCTCACGTTAAAGGGAAAACATTATTGTTCTCCTCCATGACAATTTAAAGATGGATACAGCAAGAATAAGACAGGTAAACGTTTTGAAACTCTGTTGTCGTGTCCAGTCAGCCATATTTATCTGACCTTGCACCAATTATAACATTTTCCCATCATTGCAAAATTATTTCGTGTAGGCGGGGGACTTTCTCTAATGGAAACCAGATTCAAGAATTCATCGAAAGATTTTCACATCAAAACCTGCGGAATTTTATCCAAAAGGTATCGAAGATCTGCTTCATCAGTGGCATGTCATTGTAGATAATGGCGGATATATTTGAATAAAATGTAACTGTAGTTTGTTTTTTTTTAAATAATAAAGCTGAATAGAAAAAATACTTATCCCTCAACCTACTAATTTGTTTCCATTTCCTGTTAGATTTCATATGACAACTCCATATTGACGGTTTGAATTAGCGCGATGGAAAAATAGACTAGGAGAAATGAATTCTGTTCTACCGGTTATAACGTATCTCAAAATGATGGAAATGTGACAATGATCTCCGAAGTACCATTGGAATAGCGAAAGAAGCATTTCAAAAGGTAAGCAAAGAAACAGGAAAATTTCGTTAGAAACAAAGAAAAGATTGCTGCACTGCTAAATAATATCGATCCTTCTATATTGCAGTGAATGATGGGCAACTGTCTCATCGCAGATGAATATTAGCATTCAGGCAACGGCAATGTGGTTCCACGGTAGGATAATGGAAATACAATGGCGGAAACGAGTATGGTCTAAGAAAAATTGTGCCACAAAGGATATTACCGCTTTGAATTAGAAAGGGGTAGATAAAATTTCTGCGAGGATAATGAGGAATGTAAGCTTGGCCAATTTGACACTTACAGGACATGGCAAAGGCAGAGGGAAACAGTAAGTAACCCACCTAACGTGATTCTCTAAATGGATGGGGGACAGCGTTTAGAAGTGACAGTAAAGGAAACATATTTCTTGCAGCTATAAGGAATCGGAAACTGCGGAGAGCCAAAATTGTCCATGTCGTAAAAGGAGAAAGATCCCAATTCAAATTACCTCTGAGTTCCTTTGTCTCAACTTCAGACTAGAGTTCTTGGGAAAGGCATGAAAGCACTTCTCCTAAAATTATTCCCGACTAATTTTATTGTTGAAAGCAGTACAACTTAACACCTTAATTGATAGATAGATAGATGGATGTTGCCAAGTAAGCTTCATTGTCTTATTGAAATTAAATGTTACCAGCAATGAACTCTCCCCATAGGCGTGGAAGCACTGTTGTTCGTTGCTCGGGCGATTTCACTGTATCTTCTTGTTTTCTCCCACCTGTTTAAGATGTGATTGTGATTGGGGCTTAAAAGGAACCCTGTTAATAGACGAAGCGGCTTCTATCATTAACCATTCATCTGTTCTGCTTCGTCGCGAAGAGCATTTTTTTTTCCAACCCTACCAATTGTTACCTGGGCATGGAATCCTCCTTTCCTATTTTTTTAATAAAGCTCGACCTGTATCAGACTAAAATTAACGGTATTTTCGACAGTCTTGATAACTACATTGGAAATTAAAAAAAAAAGTTATACCTCTGTCGTCGAATAGATGTTTTGGAATGAGATGTTTAAATGTTCGCTGTTTGAACTTTATTGTTCATTTAGATTGTTTACTTTTTTTTACGATTTTTTTCTTTCTTTATTTTTTCTTTCCTTCTTTTTAGCTTTTCTCTTTCTATCATTCTCTTTTCTTTCTTCTGCTTCTATTTTGTTTCTTTTTTGTCATCATTTCCTTTTTAGTCCTTTTTATATTCTTTGTCGTCGTCGTTGGCTTTCATTTACACCATTTCTTTCATTTTTCTTTATTTATTCAAATATTTTTCAACCTTTCTTCTTTTTTTTCTCTTTCCCCAATTTACATTTCTTTTTTTTTTTATTTCTCATTCTTTCCTTCGTATTTCCTTCCTTTGAACTCTCTCCTTTTGTAGTCCTTCTTCTGTCGTTTGCTTTCTTTTTCTTCTTTCCTTAGAGTTTTTCATTATTCATCATTTTTTTTACCTCGACTCATCCTTTCTTCTTGCTTTTGTATTTGATTCTTCCTTCTCCTCTCATTTATTTCCGTTTTTCTTTACTTTTTTTCTGTTTTCTCTTTCTTTAGTCTTATTTGTTTTTGTTTGTAATTATTCTTTTTTTATTTTTTCCATTCTCACTATTTCCTTCTTAAACATTTGTCGTTTGTTTTCTTTTTCTTCCTTTCTTTCAAGATGTGTGCGTGATGTATTCGTGTTTCAATTCACATTCATTTACGCACAAATACCTTTGGGAAAGGTATGAATCTATCACCTCTCCCCAGGTATGGGTTAAAAAGCAGTAGTTGTATCTGGGGAAAATCATGGTTATTCCTCAAAATCTGTTAATGTACTACTCACTAACAAAAAATGGAATTATTTTTATATTCTAAGCATAAGATTTGGCTTTTAAATATCTGAAAAAGTATTGACAAGGAAACGGTTGACAAGCAAAGGGTTGATAAGCCATAAAAATAAACAAGTCACTCCTTTCTTTTAATTTTTAATTAGACAATTATCTTTCGAACTTCCCTAATCCTCACGTCTTGTTTTCGTATCTTATTCTTTTTTCTCTTCACTTTTTCTCTCTTCATTTCTTTTCTCTCTTTCTTTTTTCTCTCTTTCTTTTTTCTCTCTTCACTTTTTCTCTCTTTACTTTTTCTCTCTTTACTTTTTCTCTCTTCATTTATTCTCTCTTCATTTTTTTCACTCTTTATTTTTCTCTCTTTATTTTTTCTCTCTTCATTTTTTCTTTCTTTACTTTTTCTCTCTTTACTTTTTCTCTCTTCACTTTTTCTCACTCTTTTTAATTGATTTTTGATTCCATTTTTCTTCTTCTGCCTTGTTTCGTATTTCTTTATTTAATTTATTTTTTCTTTTCTTTCTTTCTTCTCTTATCCTCTCTTTCTATTTCTCCAACATTTTTTCTGGTCATGTTTTTCGTCAGCCTTTTTCTCAAACAATGTCTTCTTTAGTTTCTCTTCCGTTTTTTCGTTCTCTACTTTCATTGATCGTTCTGATTTAAGCACCTTTTTCGCTTTCATGTTTAATTTTTCATTATACATTTTTTTCTAATATTTTTTAGGATCGCATCTTTCTTTTTAATACAATAATCTTTTTCTTTCATTTTTCTCTTAATTCTTGATTTTCATTCATTTTTTGTTAATGTTTATCTCATGTTATTTTCTTAATATTTTCTTTATTTTTCATTTAATTCAATATCTTTTTCTTTCATTCAACTCAATCGCTTGTATTTTTTCATATCTATTTTTTCTTTAAATTGTAAACTTTCTTCCCTTCTTATTAACATATTTGTCTGTTATTTTATCGACAGACTTGTTTGTTTAATTCTTAATACTCTATTTCTTTTTATATATATATATATATATATATATATATATATATATATATATATATATATATATATATATATTTATCCTTCTCATGTGACCGCGTTCGTAATATACGTCCTCCCTTTCTTTTCCCTTTATTTTCGCGTTTTATTGCCATTTTTCTTTCTCTTACGTTTTCTTCTTTTATCAAGCATCCATTTATTTCCCCTATGCTTCTACCTATTTTTCTCTTCTTTTTCTGACCCTCCTTTTACATTATCTTTTCCACTCTGACAGCAAAAATGTCCGAGTAATGGAAATCGTAATCAAAAGAGGGCCATTTGAATGAGCCATCCTCACCTCTTGGAGAAATAAAGAGTTACTTTTAAACTTGCGCTAAAGGGCAGAGGAGAGAAGCAAGCCAATAATAGGTACAAAGATTCCGAAGTCGTTCTAATTGTTAACCTGCTGAATGACAGCAAGTAACATCTGTACAAAGCCCTGGTAATGGCTCCTAACAAAAATGGCGGCTTTCACAGCGCCAAAACGAGGCGCGAATTGCCGGTTATAAGAAATACTGAACTAAGTGGGTGTACTCATACATTCTGGGGTGAATAGACAGCACACGCGAACAACAGTTAGACGACGATGCCGTATTTGTTAGACAAAAGACGAGAAATTGAATCCAACGGACATTGGCGTGTATATCGCGTGTTCCTGCATATATACATACATATATATATATATATATATATATATATATATATATATATATATATATATATATATATATATACGTACGTATGTGTGTGTGTGTGTATATATATATGTATGTATGAGAGAGAGAAAAGAGAGGAGAGAGAAATGGCAAAGAAGAGGGAGATTAATCTATTTTTCATTTGTGTTTATTCTTTTATATATTGGAGATGTTTATATATTTCTTTTTTTTTTTTTTTTGCGGGGCAACACCGACAAGTTTTCCTCGTTCAATGCAGTATGCCTTCTCACCCCAAACTTTTCTCTTTTATTTCTTAAGCTTTTATGCCATATAGTCTTAAACCTCTTCAGATTTTTATTTCATTATTTTTTTTTTCTGTAAAAACACTCCCAGTTTTTTTTTCTTTTTTAACATTGCTCTATATTGATGATTTTCTATTTTATTTTTTACATTTCGTTACGTTTACAACATACACATCAGAATGATAATGGTTATATTAGCCGTTTCTTTATAAGGAAATATTCAGCATTCACTGACCGAACAACCAGTGTCACTGCCGGTTGTAGTTTATAAAATCATTCTATTAAAACAGAGTTTCAAGAAAATAAGTTTCTCAAGTCCAGTATCTGCTATCGCTCTTTCCAGTATTGAGGAGGATTTCCTTCCTAACCTTTTGTTTGATGTAGAGTGGCATGTCAATAAACTGGTTTCGTACTCAAATATAGACTCTTTTACTCATTGGCGTCTAACGGTAATGGTATTATTAGCCGTTTCCTTATAAGGAAATATTCGGCATTCATTGAACGAAGAGTCAATACTGCTGCTATGGTTGAAGTTATAAAATCTATTAAAAAGAATTTTTCAGTAAAATAAGATTCTAATTTCCAGTAACTGTTATCGCTCTTTCCAGTATTGATAGGGTTTTCCTTCCTAACCTTTTGTTTGAAGTAGTGTGGAACGTGAACCTCCTCATTATTTTATTATTTTTTATTCGTGGTATCCATTTTTAGAGATCCTCAAGTGATGCAATTTCTGTTCTTTGGTGCAGTTCTCTGTTTGTGACTCTGTATCGCCAGGCCCCAAGGTTCGAAGAAAGATGAGACCTACAGGTTTCATTTCCTCAGTGGCCTTTTTAATTATTGATCTCAGAAAGCGTTGTAAAATGCCTGAAAACGTTTAGCGCCAGGCATGACGTCCACATGAACATCTCGATCCGACGAAGCTATTTAAGAAAATGACTCTTTTAGGTTAATATTTTGAGTGTGTAGCAATTTCTGGTGTTGTTCAAAACTACTCCTAGCTCCTGTTAAATGTTAGAACAATTCAATGTTTCCATGCCTTTTATCTTCCATTCCCGCAATCACTTTTTCCTTACAAGAGATATATATCTCCTTCGAAGCCCCTCCCACCAACCTTCTTGTCACTAATTTAAACCTACCTCTTCAAACACATGTGTGCATAAATTAAAAATAATAATACTGAATTCTTCTTATACTTGGAATATTGGAAGAATAATAGTGAATTCGTCTTATACTGGTAATATATGTCAACCATTTATTTGTATGAAAATGTTCATCTGCGGAATCAGAATCTAATTTCGATTCTAAGGAAATAAATTATAATCACCCCGAACCCTTAAATTTGTCACTTTCTTAATATAATTAATGTATATATTCATATATATATATATATATATATATATATATATATATATATATATAATTAATAGCCGACTGTAGTTGGTCACTGTGCACTGGAAATGTCATTCCTGATTTTATATATATATATATATATATATATATATATATATATATATATATATATATATATATATATATATATATATATATATATATATATATATATATATATATATATATATATATATATAATATGAAATGATAACGAAACCAGAGGTGCTGGTAGTGTCAACATTTTTGAAAGAGATTTTTCAATATAGCCAAATTCATCTGTATTCTTTTTCTTTTTCTCTCCATCACCTTTGTCCGTGATTATATATATATATTACTCTTCTTTGTAGCTTTTCTGTTGTCACAATATGGGATAGTCAGCTCCACGAATTTGTAGTTTCTGATTATTATTTTCTTGGTTAAGTATACAGGTATTGTCCACTAATATTCTGCGAATGTGGACAGGAATGTTTTTGTAGATGTTGAGCAATGGAGTATGAATCATTCAGGTGTAGATAAGTTTTCTTGATAACGTGATTGGGGTATTAACAACATATATATGAGCTTTTTATATTGATATAAAATGTTGTTTTATTTTAAATATGTTAATTGGTGGGAAGGAGTTAATACGGATGATTAAGTCTGTAGTATTTAATTTATTATAGTATGTAATTAATTTGATTTTTTACTGCGATCTTTGGGGGATATATTTTCATTAGCCATTAAAACCCTGATGATGATATAGGGTATTATCGAAGGTATTAAGGAGAAATAAAAATGAATAAAGATAACCACAGTAATTTTCTTGCAGTCTTTAATTGTGAAAGAAAAAAGCTTATACATGTTTACTAAAGGATCTTACTGAAAATGAATAAACATAACATATCTAAATTGTTTAATCAGACATATATATATATATATATGCTATTAAGCATTATTCTTCAAGTAAATTGAATTGAGTTCTCCGAGCCACTGTCTAATTTCGCATAGAGAAAAACGTTAAAATTCACTTCCTTTCTGTCGATAGCTTAGGCGTAAGTTATGTGACTGATGTCAAATCAGTCGGGTTTCGATCCCGGCTTGAAGCAATTAGGCATCTAGCCACACTGAGGAGCTGTGATACAGCGAAACAGTCTGTCTTTGGGTGACCATATATATATATATATATATATATATATATATATATATATATATATATATAATAGAAAGGAAAGTGCTGGAAAGAACTAGAACAAACGCTCGTTTCTATTCACATCGACATCATAAAAATACAAAGACGCTCAGTATAAACTGTACGTCCAGTACATCTAGATATCTAATTTATTAAGCCTTTTATCGCTTTAATTTTTATTTTTTTCAATTTTTGTCGGCACTATTCTAGTATTTTGAAGAGTAATGGCTTTTATTTCATGACCCTAAATTGAAAATAACTACAAATGCCTCTAGAACGATAAGAAATTTAATACAACACAAAAGAAAATAATGACATTAAACCTGAAACAGGTATTTACAAAATAGACTGCATAAAATATCTCAATAAATATAAAGTAGAGATATCGAGAACCTTTTTCGCAAACACATTGCTGTAAGCAATCCATTCTCATCGCTTATGACTGGTCTTTTGTAAAAGTATTTGTTTGTTGACTTAGCGCAGAAAGCCGCAGATGGAAATGCAATTCCTTTTCCGTTGAATTGTGAAGCACACAAACATTGCAATGATTCGATTATCCATTTGTTTTCTCGTGCCGTGAAACACTTATTTGATATATGTGAAGTATCTTTGCGAAGTGCCATGATGGTCATACTGTCAAATTTAAATTTAAAAGCATTTAAATAATTTGAAAATCTCTCGATTTGATGAAGGAAAAAGAGACTTTGGAATACTGTAACTTAGTTTTGACATGTTGCTAACTGGAAGTAAATTATTTTTTCTTGGGGGGGGGTCGTTATTTTTTCTTTTGTTAATAAAATCTGTGTGCTAAAGAATTATAACATTTTAATCTTTTTATAGTAGTACATGAATATGTTGATTTGAGAAAGAAGCCTTACTCTTAAGAAAGGAGATATTT